TTAGTTCATCTTAAACAAGACACTTTAGGAAGCGTAACTGGGTTGCATTTGTGATAGTAAATAATTCAGAATTGGAAAAAGGAAATGGTGAATTGTATATGCAGCATGGAAACCTAGAGATTACAATGGTATATCTTAGGTTCAGTTTAATAATGTTATACACAGTGAAATTTCTGCAAAATAGAAGATAGAAAAAATCTGAAAGAATCAAGGAAAAACTGAAGGTTTTATCAATGTTGATGTGTTAAACTCAAGTGGTTACCTTCCTCATTGATGTACTTGTTGTTTAAGCAAAATGACTGCCTCCATTGTATATATGTGGAATTTCAAGGCATGTATGCTTTTACATAAAAGAGTGCATACGAGTCATGCAGCCCATCAGGACTGTATTTATATCTGGTTTACTTCTGTATCATGGAGCAACCAGGAGTATTTCTACTCCTCCCCCCCCCTGGATGGGATGTTAGTCCATCGCAGGGTTACCCCCAGCAGTAAATTTTGCACTTAAGTCGGCTAACAGCAACATATTTAGAAGAAATAAACTGATTACATCGAGATCTCAATTGTTTTTCTGATTCTTTATTAATGAAACTTTCTTCAGTAAGAGACAACTGTGTACCTTTCTTCGCACTGTCATCACCACTGACAATATTGTTACTCACTTTGAATAAAAATTTCACCGGCACAGTGGCTGTCATATTTCGCCTTAGTGTCAATTGCTTTGCTAAGTTCCACAACTATGACTGTCAACAGTGCACTAAATTATACTAGGCTTCCAACAAGTTCAAAATACAACCAGTAAAATACATAATTACATGTAATGAAACACAAGACAAAGCTGCAAATTACCAGGGAAAACATGCCATTTACATTCTCACTTCAACTGAGTGTTCCTGCATCATGGGTCCAATGATTTCCTTCATGTTATCTGGTTTCAGTCAGTAGTATATAGGGGGTCAAACAAATAACGATTTTCATATGTGCAATGTGGAACCTTATCGCGCCCCGCACATTCAAGTCCACCCCTCACAAGCTCGGGCTGGACTCACGTGCGGGGCGCGATAAGGTTCCACATTGCACATATGAAAATCATTATTTGTTTGACCCCCTATATACTACTCGCAATGGCAGCACCCCGTGCAGCGTCTGGCCAAACGAGGGGTGGCGGAGAGGCGTCACCCCGCGCAGCGTCTGGCCAAACGAGGGGCGGCGGAGAGGCGGCAGCGGCCACAGGAAAGAATGGGTAAAAACGGGTTTCAACGGCCCCTCGCGGGGGAGTGCGGAATGTTAGAAACAAGCGAGCCCGCTGTGATACTGCCCGAGTCGCGATGTATAGAGCGCCAAACAAGTGCGGGTGGCTGAAGTGGGGCAGGAAAGAAAGCTGCGGAAAGCGCTGTTATGGGGCGTACTGCGGCTGGGGGGCCGCTAACCCGTTTTTATTCGCCCGGTGCGCTGTAAAAACATCCAAGCTTACCCATTTTGCTAAATCCATCGTCTTTGAATTCATTGTAACGCCCAATCCCTTCGTCTAAACATCTGACGAAATGCTCTGCAAAAGGGAGCAGGTTTTTATCTTGCTTGAGCTCGTCCCGAAGCTCTTCGTAAGCCTCAAGCGTTGGGCTCCAGAAGTGGCATCTGTTAACCTCACCTTTCACGCCTTTTAACAAAAACCCGNTTTAAAAAAAAGTAGTTTGCTGAAGAACTAATCCTTTTGCTGTAATGAAAACAGCTTATAACTGTCACACATGATAAGAGCACAAATTAGGTTTGGCTTGTGAAAAACAACCAGAAGAGTCCGGAAGACGTGATTTAACCACAGGATTTTCAGCTGAAAACCATTCACAATGGAAAACAGGTTATTTTTGTAATAAAACAGAAGGTTTACAGTAGTGACAATGAATTCAAGTTACAATTTATTTGCAGTTTTTAGTTCTTTGTAAAGTTTTACAAATGTGGTATTTTACATTTTCTCTCTACGGAAGAGTGGTTGTGATTAAACAATAGATAATGGTTTTGTCAGTGGTAAATCAATAGGAAGATTCATTAAAAACAGGTATAAGGTTAAAACAACAAATTAATTTCCGGTGAGGTAATTAGCATTGCCAGATGTCTGTTATTTCAAGATAAGGTGTTGATTTCAGAGAGAAACGGTGAAAATACTGTTTGTTGTTTTCAAGTTTGCGTATGTTGTTGATGTACTTTAAACAACACGTTTCACTTTATCTGGAGAGATGCAAGTTTATTCATTTCTTTGCAGCTTCTAGGATCAGCAGAAAGAATTTATTTGCCATCTTTGGTTTCGGGGAACTAGGAACTTATCCTTTGCGGCTGTCTTTTGCAGTTTGTAGGATCCGCAGAGTGTCTTTAGTTTCAGCGTTTAGAAGAAGATTTTTATTGTGGATTGTGCTTTATGCAATATCGGAGAAATTTGCGCTCACCGGCAAACTGATAATATGAACACATCATCTATACATACAACTTTAGATCTACAAGCAAGTTGCACACGCGATAGGTCAAGGGTCAACAATAAATTTACGTATTGGGGAGCACTGTTTAGCCTGGACTTTTTGCGGTCTTAAGGTGAATTCAGTTGAATGAGTACTGCCAGAACAGTGTATAAGTACTGAAATATCTGAACTTATATGTGAAACATGAAATAAACTGTATTGGTGAAAGTCTGGATCCACCACTGGATTTCTCTCGGGGCTTTCTATCACAATATTCTTTTACATTGTTTTATTTCTTAAAGATTTTTAGTCTCACTGCCAGTCACTTCAAAAAGTAAACAAAAGGGAAAAAGGTGAATTGCATTCAGTTCAAAGAGGAACAATTGAACAAAGGGAACATTAGTAAGCTTGGACTTTCAAAACCCAACTATGCAAAGCTACTTACAACACAGCTACTTCCTACAGATGTTGTATCTTACTTTTACTTTTGATTAAGCTTAACCATCAGCCTGTCTGTTTATGTTCCAATTTTTTTGGAACAATTTTAGAAATAGCACATACACGTCATCGCCTCTGCATGCATTGCATGCCATTTATTTGAAAACGAAATCCTGGGGACACAAGTGTATCATCACTGTACTAGCCAGGGATGCATTTTTTCAGTCTCCAAAGTTCAGTTCTCTATCAAAGTAGTGGAGGCTCTAACTCATTGTAGCTGGGGAAATTCCCAGAGCCCTTAGTGACAATCCTGATCTCAAATTCTTACTTTTTGCACATCACCAGGACTGTTTCTGATAATTTTTGCGACATTGTTCCACATGTACGTGTATATTTAACAATAATTATTTGCCAAAGACAAAGAGAACGAGGATTGGTGACATTGGTCACCAATGTTCACTGAGCCTGAGGCGAATAATTGTTTTAGTATAATTTCAGAGCTGATCAAAGAGAATTACACTGACTAAAACATGAAAACAGACGCAATTGTTCATTTGCCTACACATATGCAGCATAGTTTTAATAATAAGCTTACATGTACATCGATCGTGAATCAGTTTACTCATCGAGTTTGGCAGTAAAACAAACAAGCAAAACACTTAGTGAAAAACTCAATTCATCTGGTACCTTTGTTTTATTGTTGTTGACTTCATTCACAGTTGTCATCATCGTCTAAGAATGAGTAGTTTGAGTTTGAAGAAAAATAAATCCGAAGTGCAGTAGCTCTCATAAGCTTTAAATTCTATTTATCATTATTGCAGCAGCTGTGATTGTTTTGGGACTTAAAGGGGGCATTGTTTCTGTTCTTTGTTCTGATCTATTGTCCTCTCAAAGGGCATTGAGCCATTCATGTGAGACCTTACGAGAGCTGCTACCTGACCCAAATAAATTTCTGTCAATCAATCAACATAATCACTGCACTTATGATTTTTCTTGATGCATTGAATACAAGTTCTTGAATGGAGTTTTGGTCCAATGGTAATAGCAGTCATTTTGAAAATTCTCCATCCTTTCAAATATGTACGTATATCCTGCACTTGGAGTGATGTCTTCCAAATAAATGAAAAATTCATTCAGAAACTGTCCGCCATGTTTACTTGCCAAGATGGCAATGGTGGCAAGCTTAGTAACCAAGCTCAAAAATGTTACATTCATGGCTTGGAGTGGTTAATATTTAACAGTTAGAAAACAGCCCTAAGAAAATATGCTCGCCGATATATTTGGTTAAAAATCATGTTTCCATAGCTTGATAGAAACACAGAACTAGCACGAGCTGTTGATGTAATGATGGTGCAAGCAAAGATAATTTACCTTTTGATAATCAAAGTCAACAAGTTGTTTTCCTTTTTTTTTCTCGCAGTGTTTTCTAAAAGAAATAGAAAACATGTTCTCCTTGTTTCTATCGAGTTATAGAAACAGTGGTGAAAGTTTGGGAGAACTCGAAAAAGCTGTGGAAACACTCACCTGTGGCTTGTGTTCCCACAGCATTTCTCGTTCTCCCAAACTTCCACTTGTGTTTCTATAACTCGATAGAAACATGGCGCATGTTTTCTATTTCTTAAATAAAGAAGCCTAAGCCATGTATTACACTGTGACAAACACGATGGGCATTTGAGAACATGAGGGAAATGTAGAAAACATGAGCCGCAGACGAGTGCCTTCTACATTTCTCAAGTGTTCTGAAATGTCTGGAGTGTTTTATCACAGTGTAATACATGGCTAATAAAATAGAGGTAATGTGGTGTAAAACAATAAAACAAGCTTTTTCTATGTTTTATACTCTGATAAAACATGGGTTTTTGACCAATCAGAGCGTGCGCAGGGTCCTATCTATATTATAAAATGTCATTAAAGGAATTGCTCAATTTATGCTGTCTCACCTGATTTTTCTCCAAGGTCTCAATTTCTTGGTGCTAATTTAAAAGATCTCAGCTTCTGGGAATGAAATTGGTATGATGTTGCAAGGTCACCATCTCAAGTACTGATTGCTTCCAAGGCTGAGGCCCCTTACTACTGCTGGCAGTTAGTAATATTATGATTGGCTTTTTCTTTTAGGTATCTCATCATCCACCCATCTCAGCTCTTCATGCTGAATCTGACCACTGGGTTTTCTGGCAGGAGTACAAGCTTGATAATAGATTCAGAGGACAGGTATTCCAAAAAGTCTACTTTCTGGTATTTGCCACACAAGAATGTCCTAATAATTAGTTTTTTATAGTCAAGTAATTTACACACGTGTATTTATGTACAGTTTTTCAAGGTTATCCCAACTGGCATTTGTCATGTGAAGTTCAAGTCAGATGGGCATCACTATACATGGAAGAAACCAATCACTACTATTCATAATATTCTTGTTGGCAGTCTTTACGTGGATCAGGTGTGTATCGTGTTTATGTTATTTGAGAAATCAGAGATGGTGTGTATTTCCTCATCTATACAATAATCATCTTTTGCAAAAATGTTCATAAAATTGTACAGAAAGTTCTATAAAATCTTCACACCTTGCATTCACAATGTCGTTAGCACAGGGGCAAATATTACAAAAGGTATGGCTTTCTGTGTGCCTAATAAGCTGTGTTAGGTTTACAATGTATTGTGGTCAAATGTACAAGCACCTTCTTTTTCCCTACTGAGGGTTGTGTTGCTCACTTAAACCATCAAAATCAAGGTTTAACAGACTGTATGCCTCCATACAGATTGTATAGGGACTGCATGTAGGATGCTCCAAAAGTTTAAGTGATAGTCTGTGCTGATCCTAGCAGTATGCAGGATGCCTGTCACATATGAACTCAGTTAAATGACCTTGCTCTCCATAAGTTCTTGTAGCTCAGTGGATAGTGCACCTGCCTGGTGCTCAGTAGGTCATGGATTCCATTCACGCTAGATTTAAAAGTGAATAACTGACATTTGACTTAAGAACATTTCTTTGCATTATAATTAATTTATTATCAATGTAGTGAGCAGTTTCTGTTATATCTTACATGCTCACATGTCCCATGCATGGAACAGTCGTGGTCGCCATTGTAGTTGCAATTGTAACAGGTGTCGAGTTTCTGTTTGCTTCATCAGTTCTAGCAGGTCCATGAATGTTTCATCTAAAAAAGTCGGCGTTGCATTTGTTCTTGTGGAAAACACATTCCAGGTATCTGTTTTGGTCACATAAGCTGTGCGGTGTGTCATAAACTAGTTGTGCTCGTCTTGTCAAAGTCTTGATAGTCCTGGTGTTGTGTGAAGTCGGGTTGTAGGATGATTCGTCAAGAAATCTCTTGCTATATGTCGGTTTTCTGTACACCCTCCTTCGTAGTTCATTGTTGTCGCAGCTTACCGAACAGTCTAGAAAAGGAAGTTTTCTATTTTCTTCAATTTCTTTGGTAAACTGGATGTCAGCGCTCTGTTTGTTAAGGTGGTCATGATGTTGACCGTTACATTTCATGTTCAAAGTTGAATATTTAATTAAGCCTGTCCAGAGATTAATACTGGCATTATGTGCTAATGCTGATATGATAATTACATGTATTGGTGCGTGCAAATAACGAAGGTACAACTGTTGAGGTGCTAATTACAATAGTTGTGCAACACCCTCTCTCTTAGAAAGAATAATCATAAATAAATAAGTATACTAGTATATTAGAGTTCAGTTCATCTTACTTGTGAGTCTACATAACATAGTCTTTGAATCTTGATGGCCATTTACAATTCGGTTGTGAAGGGCAAAGTCCACATTCAATGGCATGAGGTGATGCACTCTCTAATTCCATGTGTGAACAGTGGAGTCCGCATTCAACAGCTTGAGGTGGTACGCTATCTAATTGCATGTGGGGTTGATGGATCGTTTCTCTCATCAGCTCAGGGTTAGCTGGTTGTCTTTCCTGCTCCTGTTCAGAGTGTGTGGATGCAATTTCAGGCTGTGCTGGGCCATCCCAATGATCTGTTTCTGAGCTTTTTCTGTCTTTCAGTTCATCTTGCTTGTGAGTCTACATAACATAGTCTTTGACTCTTGACACTGCTTATGAATCCTTTGTGAACAGCAAAGTCCACATTCAGTGGCTTGAGGTGCGAAGTTTCTTTTCATGGCTTGTATTACTGCGAAGGCTGATGTATTTCTTAAAGACTCAAGTTCAATATAGTCACTGTAATGGTCCACAAGCACAAGGTAATTACTGCCTTTTAGTTGAAACAAATCTGCACTCACTCTTTCTCATGGCCTAGATGGTATGGCATGTGACTGCATGGGTTGACTGCATCTTTGTGTGCTACTGTCTGCACCTTGGTGTGCTTTGTGTATCTTCTGTAAGAGTTCAGGTGACAGTGATGCGGGAACTATGACTTGATGAGATTTGAAAAGCACTCTATCATGAAAGGCAAAAAGCCATTGTGTGGCAAATTTTGCAATTATTATTGCCAAAACTTTGTTGTTATTGTTGTTTTTTCCAAAACAATCAACAAATTTAATTAATTACAGTTTCTGAATGACAATTACGAGCTCCCTTAGACTGAAAACCTACTTTAATGGAAGTTTATAACTTTCAGTGTCCATTTTGACGAATATTTTGGTGATTTGTCTTCAACATCTGCTCAAGATCTGTGTGATACCGAGTCCAGCAAAACATAAACAAACAAAAACCACACAAAAACAAATTCAGAGCCATCTCAAGAAGGTAGATGTTTCCAGGTTTTCGGTAGTTTCAAACAAAGCAACACAAGAACTCAACTCTGTCACTGTGAATAAACATAGTCAAAATATGCCCCGCTCCACAAAACAGTGAATGAACGAATGTCTTCTGAAGCTGGTGCCAGTCCCGCTATCTTGAAAACATCTTGAAACAAATGGCGCCACAAGAATTTGAAGGTCCTAATTAAGTTCCATGGTGAGGTCACAAAAAGAAAGGGACATGATAATGAGCTGGAATCCCTTAAAATCATGCAGAGCACCGCCGAATGGTCTTTAAAAGAAAAGAACTATCTACTGGGCATCGTGCACTCGAGGGAGTTTTACAACTCAAAAGAAATCCATCGTGGAATTACACAGGATGCACCTTGAAATTCCTTCTCTAAAGACTACGAAAAGTCTCAGAACTGCTTGTTACTTTGTCGTGCTTGAATGAGTTTTCGCCGCATGACATTGTTTTGCATACTAAATAGCCGTAAAGGCGTTTCCGGTTCTGCTATATTTCAACAAACCAGCTAATTGAACAATACACCAAAATCTAAAATTTAAGGTGATAAAATGGTGCGATTTCAGAATGGATCTAATAAAGTGGCAATTGAACTTCGTGTCATGCAATTTTGTTGTGAAATCATACTTCTGATTTCAAATCGAACTCGTGCTGTACGCTCATTCGATTTTGAAATCACATGTATGATTTCAGACCAAATTGCACTCCACTCAGTTCAGTTACCATTATTACTCAATGATAATGGTAATGATAATGATAATGATAATGATAATAATAACAGTAATTGTAATAATAATTGATTTTTGGTGACATTTGTTTTCAAGCACATTCAGAAAAGAAACCTTGAAAAAACGATCTTCAAGAACATCTCTCTCTATCTTTCCTTCAGAAATTCCTTCTTTTGAACTCCTCCCCCTTCCCCTCCCCCTTTTATAATTTTCCAGTGATCTTCCATGAGGTATGTGTGTGTTTTCTGGAACCAAGTTCCACAGTAGAGTTTGAGTAGCTGTGTAAGCAATGTTCATAATGTTAACACCTGACAATTGGATTTGCGGTTATTTCCAAGATTTTTATTGCATGTTGATCTTTTTGTTCACTCCATGTGATTATTCTGCAAATAATCAAGATTTACTTATCTATCAACTTTGTAGGAAGGAGATGTGGTGGTAATGAATCACTTTACAAGAGAACAGTGTATTCTACACTTTCAACCTGTTAGAAAAGTTCAGGACAACTTCAGAAGGCTGAAAGGTATTTTTAATGGTACAAACAACAATGTTTGAAGTAATTCAAAAAAAAAATTGAGAACAGGATATTTAAAGTAAACAAAATTTCTGTAAACTCTTAAGGCTCAGACGAAATTCAAGCAAACCGTTTAAGTGGTGTTTTGAAGAAGTTCTGAAATTTACAGTAGATCGTTAGAGCACAAAGACGGGCAACCTTTGATCTGTTAAAAAAGTTAAGTAAACTATGGTTGTATGGCCTTCCACTACCAGTGGAAAGACATTGATGTACATTATATTTGAAGATAATTATATGCTATGTTTCATAATTCATGCGTGTGTATTTTTTTCAGTTGAACATGTGACTAACACAATCCATCTGAAAAATAGGTCTGCAATGCCTACTTGTGGGCTTATGCTTGGTTCGATTCCATTCGGTTTGAGTGTTGTATTTAAATGTCAGTATCTGGGAGTTCAATTGCTGCAAGTGAGAAGGCAATCATGGGAAAAATAAAGGTGTAGATATAAGTGAATTAAGTAGCATTGATTGTTTGATTTTTAGTATCAACATAGACAAGTCATTAAAAATTTTAAGTGGAAAATGTTTTGCAGAATACTGTTTACTTAGTTACTTTATCCTCTAATAATAATTCTTTATTTACCTCTTAGTCCCTATGGGACATGACACAACAAGGCTCTTCATTTAATCCCTATTTTATGCAGCATGTTGTGCCTTGTCCCTTGTGAGTTTTACCTCTCTGAGCTCGGCACTGTTTGCACATGTCAAGTGAACTTGTACATGTAGTGTCAAGATGGTTTGCTGCAGTAATGACTAAGCCTTTTACATAACACCATCAAGAACTGAGTCCAACATGCACTTTGTTAATGGTGTTGAAATGTATAGAAGTTCTAAGAAGTTCTTGCCATGACTTTAAAAAAATATCAGCATGCTGAATACCCATAATCATATTTTAAATGGAGATCAACAGAAAGTACAGCACATCACACAATCATGATGCAGAATGAAAACTAACAAGAAGACAACGGCAAGTTTATTCTACTCTTTTATTTCTGTTTTTACGTTACATAATACGAGCATATGCAGCACACAAATGACCACAAAGGTCTGTCACTTGACATTACCCTCAAGACAATCGCCAATTATATGGGATTATGCAACAATTGCATAATCCCACAAAATCTGTGTTAAGCCTTTCTCTCTTTTTAAACCATAATAGAAGGTGTAAGGTCTTCTCCCAATCTTCTGCTAAAAACCCATCTCATGAAACAGTACCCCTCTTCCCCTTTCCCACCCTCAAGCACATCATATAGCTCATTGTGGCAGTTAGTTATTGTTTGGTTTTCATGTGTAGGGTATGGATCAAACTCTTCAAGGAGTGCTTTCTTGAGTGTTCTTCTCTCTTGGTGGTGAAATGAGTTTACTACCTTAAGAAGGTCTAGGCGGTTTCAGTAACCACCGCTTCACTCTTTCAGGAATTGGTTCATCCATTGTGAAGCTGTTGGTTTTTAGATTCAGCGTTGCTTTTGTGTATAAAGGGTAACCACAAATGTTTAAATGAGATGTCATGCCTGCCTTAGTCAGGCCGTGTACTGTCGAGTCGAGTAGTTATTGATGCAATTGACAAATACTGGCAAATTTTGAGCACTGTGGCCCTGACTTGCCAGCAAGGCTACAAACCGGTGAGTTGCACCAAGTAGTCACAAATCTGCTGGTATTTGTTGACTACATCATTAACTATACTAACGTACTGAAGGAAAGTTAGTAAAATATGTGGTTGTATTAAGAGTCTACTAATCTACTGAAAAATATGTGGTCGTACTAACATACTACAGTAAATGGTTTGAACCCAGGAGTATCAGTAGTTCGTATAGTGTGATCGTCCGGGTGAGTGTAGTTCTGAAAAGAACTGTTGTTGATGACTGACATTTTGACAACCTGAGAGGAAGTCAATGTCAGAGTCAAGTGAAAAGTGTGCACCACTTTATCATTTACGGTGTTACAGTCTGATCCACTGTAACTGATTGGCCAGTTTAGCATGACAGCATTGACTGTGCGACTTGTGTAAAGTTTATCATTAACAGTCATTGGTCGGTTNGTATCTGTACTGTCTTAATAGCGTCAATAAAGTTCTCCGTAGATTGTAGTTTGCGTCTTGATTTGTCAGTGAGGGGTTGCAGTATGGTCGTCAAGTACTTAGATAGTTGATACGTAGGGGACCCACAGAATGACACTATAGGCCGCATCGGTATACCAGGTTTGTGCAGTTTTGGTAGTCCGTAAAGTTTCGGTGGTTGAGGTACTGAGCACCTCAGTCGATAGTAGCGTTGAGTGTCAATAGTGTCAGTCTTTTTAAGCGTAAGTATTTTGCTGTTAAGTTTATGTTGAAGTGCTGGGGTCGGGTCGCGTTTAAGTTCTTCGTAAGTTTGTTTGTTGTTAACATGTGCGTCCTGAAAATACTAACGTACTGAAAAAAAGTAAGTAAAATATGGAGTCGCACTAACATACTGAAGGAAAGTTGATAAAATTTGTGGCCGTACTAAGAGTCTACTAACACACCAAAGGAAAGTAAGTAAAATATGCAGTCATACTAACGTACTGAAGGAAAGTTAGTGAAGGTGGCCGAACATGGTTTTCGAACGTGCTTTTGCCGATGCGATTCAGCGTGTGCACAAGGATTGCAAAAAACAAACATGTTGTCAATAGAGCGATCACTATTTGCCCAATGCCCGCATTATCTGTGCTATTTTTCTCTATAATTGAATGCAGTGTATTGACTGTTTTAATCTTTTATTGCAAAGATATGTTACAAAAGGTAACGATGCAAAGAACCCAGCAATTCTCAGCTTTTTCGTTGTTACCAAAAGAACCCAGTTAAATGCAGCGCATGCATAGTAAGTCAAAAACTTGCAATTAAATGAAAAATTCCTTTCTCGAAAATACGCCTTTTTCTCGAGAACCACTCATTAGAATTTCATGAAATTTGGCACAAAAATACTTTAGGAAATAAGTAACTGGAGTACTGAAAAAAATTGAACTTTAACAAAGGAAATTCTGGATATTCCAGTGAACCTTCAACACGGGATAATTAAAGATCTCTCTGTGAAATTATTATAAAAATGGTGTTAACTTGTGAGTATCGTTACAAGCTTGCTGCCTGCAAATTATAAAGAAAATCTAATGACTAGATTTTCTACAAAATCAACAAAAGCGATTTTAAAGGCCCGTTTATATTTGTTCATGTTGCCATGGCAATGGTACATACATCAGCTAAGCTATCAAAAAACCAAAGTTTGCGTTGTTAACTTGCTTGCTGCCAATTTTGGCAACCAAGGGATCAAGGGTTTTAGAGAAAAAGGTGAATGAAACATAGGTATCAAAAACTGTGTTCAGCCACCTGAAAAATGCGGCCACACTAACGTACTGAAGGGAAGATATGCGGTGGTACTAACGTAACTATAGGTACTTGACCACAGTCTCTGTTTCAAATTATGACTATTGACAACGTGGACAATTGCGACACTTAACTACCATGTTTTTTTTTTAAGTCCCACAACACATAGTATTACGGGCAAGCATAATTTGGAGCATACATGTAATAGTTGGATTTTGAGGGAAATATGAACCAGCTCTAAGCCAACCCTTAAAATACCAAACTACTGTAAATTCCCATTTATAAGCCCTCCCAGATATAAGCCCCTCTGGTTATAGGTCCCTCTACCTGTAAAGCTCCTTTGGATCTAAACACCCCCCCCCTTCTAGTTTGAAATGAAATGAATTTGATTAATAATGATCTTTTAAAGTTTAAATAAAAGTCAGTACATGAAAAACATATTTCAATCAACATTGCACTAGCTCATTTCGAAACATTTTTTTATTCTTCTTATAAGCCCCTCCCTGGATATAAGCCCTTCTGTTTTTAAGCCCATCAAACCCTATGTATGTTCTCTTACAATAGCCCACTTAATCCAAATAACGGACACTTTCCTCTGACAAGAGTGACATGCTCCAATACCAAGTTGACCTCACTTTACAGATACTTATCATCTTTAACAGTTACTGTACACGGTATATGCTAATTTTTTCCCAATCAAACGGAAAGAGTAAGTAGAAAGCAAAGTTATCAGAGACTGTTGTGGAAATATTAGTTTCTACTATTGATGACACCTCTTAGATATTTACTGGTAGTGTGATTTTAAACTATATAGCATGCTGAATGACGGTAGGTTCCCATATTTTCCTCTCACCCAAAAAGAAAAACGAGTTAAAATCATCAAAATTTAATGATAACAGAAAAGTCTGTGATGCTTATTCTAAGAGGCTACATAAAAAGTACACCCGGCCGAATTCCAGACAATGCTTCTATTAATGGTGAAAACTTGAAGTGAAAAAAAATCAGCAATCAGGAAAATTTTACTTCCTCCAGCATATCAAGCTACACAAAAATGGTGTGTACCAATATTCGCACTTTCCTTAAAACGTTAGCAAGTCACCAAATTTACTTTCTTTGAGTAACTATGTTAGCATGACTGCTAATTTAACCACATTTACTTTCCTTTGTACATCAGTACATTTGGATGGTCGCATATTTCACCAAATTTACTTCAGTTCCTTAGTGCCTTAGTACATTTCTTTGACCCTTCTTTCAGTTCAAAGCTTTCTTTAGTACGTTAATACAACCCCTGTTTCAAAGCTTTCTTTGGTATGTTAGTACAACCCTTGTTTTAATGAAAACTTTCCTTAGTACGTTAGTTCTACGCTTGTTTCCATTTAAAACTTTCTATTGCATTCATAACTGCATGGAAACAACAGAAATAACACTTAAATTTTATTTAGATTTTTCGGCAAATGCGTCAAGTACTTAGTACAGGAAAAATTGAAATAACCTTTTCCTATTCTGTGCTTGGTATGATCTAGATGTGTGATCTTAGAACCATAGAGTTCATTTTGTAATGAATGCATTCAGGCTTAGAGTTGAATAAAAACTTCTACAACAGACCGAAAACTGT